CCACCCCTCACTGCTATGTGCAGGCTCCCCCCCGCCCCACCCCACTGGAAGCATGTCTATATTCCCCCAGCTCTCTGTTCCCTCTATGTGCCAGTCATGTTACATGCTGTGTCATTTTAAAGTGTCCAGTGGTCAAGCTATATTATATAGTCAAATGACCAGTGGTCAAATATATTATATGTGAGGCAGCGTGGTGGAATCAGGCTCTCGTCAAAATAATCAAAATGAAGAAACTTGCATTTTCCGCAGGTTTGTCAATATTTATCGAATTTTTGTTTTTTGGCTCAACACCTTTCATGCCCATTAAAAAACTCATTTCTGTGTGAATTTTTCTGAAAAACTTTGATTAAAGGCACTAAAAATGTAAATTTTTAGTTACCACGGACTCTTAAGCTAAGGAAATAACTAATCTTTGGCCGCCATTTTCTCACTAATTTTACATGTGAAAACAGGTGACCCCCATCTCCTTCATTCGCAAATATTTCGACTTGTATTCAAGATAAACGGATATTTTTTTCGTCCAAATGAAGACAAGTGAACAAGCTTTAGAATGATACCATAACTCTATGTGCCCAAAAATTGACGAAGGCCTGATTCCCACCTCGCTGCCTCACATATATTATATATAGTCAATATGACCAGTGGTCAAGCTATAATATAGTTTATCTGATAAATGGTCAAGCAATGGTCTAACTGACAAGTGGTCAAGCTATAATATAATCTAGTCAATTTGACCACTGGTTCTGTCCCCCATCCCCTCCCTAGCGTGTTAACCCTCCCTCTCCTCCCCACGGAGCCCACCGATGCCCACCCCACCACCTCACGATAGCAGCCATCCAGGTATTTCATTCATTGACCCAAGGAAAGGTATACATACAGTAATGGAAGCTGCTCTGTGGGCGGTAACTGGGGCTGGGCAATGAGTCGCTTTAAAAAATCGGGGTAATATGCTAAGTGCACATCTTCGGTAAATCATATGTTATGAACCGATTCGGCAAATGGGTTAGAACCCCTTTGATAAACGGGTTAGCATCACTTCAACAAATGTCTGCATCCACTTCGGCAGACGGGTCAGGAAAGAGAGTTAAAGCCCCATTTAGACGTACAGTTCGCTGATCGACAAACTGTAGGATATCGAGAGGATGGCCGGCATTCTTTCAATTTCACGTAGAAAGTGAGCGTGAAACAAGAAATCCTCTCGATATCGAAGGGTTCTCCGTCCAACCACCAGATATCTGGCGACGCCAGATATTTGTCGGCCGGCGAACTGAAGGAGTGACGACGAGGGAGCGGCTTCTTTGATGTTGCCCCAGGCGGAGTTGAAAATGCATTCCAAAGATTTCCTAAATATTCGTCAAATCAAAAAAATAATAAGATTTTCGTGATCATCGACCCAAAATTAGAACAAATCGCGCGAGGAACGCAATTTAATCCCGAATTACCAATTTACACACCGTTGTTTCATATAGACAGTTAGACAGTGCTGTTCATTTATTTATTTTTGTCTACACGCTACCAGTTTTGTTATTGCAAAGGTCTTCTTGCCAAGTTCTAGTACATGTACAATGTCCGTGTGGAATAACAAGGAAACTGGGCGCCTTTTCAATAGTTCCCACCCCGGCTAGAGATTTAGATCTAGATTTAGATCAGACGGTTATGTTTGGTGCGCGGCGAGCGAGAGATATCCAACCAAACTGCAAAACATCAAATTAAGGTAAAATGCCCCC